CTAATCATGTCCCACTTCACCATTTTATATTAATTTGAGATTCATGCAAAGAAGATTCCTTCATTTGAAATGTTTTTCATGCTCAAAGCCAGTATATAATAGTTAACCAACTTGATAATAAATTGTGCCAATTTCTTTTTGGGGTCCACTGTTCATATTTTTTCCAGAAAAAAGTATTTTTCCCAAAACAGGATACTGAGTTCTGAAGCAAAGGCAGCTACCAAGATGCTGATTACTTAAAGAACATTCTGGCAAGAGTCACGAAAGGACAGAACAGGCATTTGGACTTTAAAAGTAGTGATTTTCAAACTATACTTGGTAAAGGGCCACTTTTTCTTTTATTTCTAATTACATGCAAAATATAAGCCCTGATTTTTTGTTATTATTGTTCTTCAATTCAACAGATAAAATGGTTTGAATGAGTTGTCTCCCAAATTCATGTTGAAACATAATCCTCGTTGTGCTGGTATTAAGAGGTTGGGCTTTTAGAAAGTTATCTCTTGTCCTTCTGCCTTCCATCATGGAGAACACACCAACAAGGCACCACCTTGGAAGTAGAGAACAGTACTCAGCAGACCTTAATTCTCATGATTTGATCTTAGACTTCCCAGTCTCCAGAACTAAAGGAAATAAATTTCTGTTCTTTTTTTTAGTTTACTTATTTCTTACATGAGAGAGTCAGAGACAGACAGCCTCCCCCCTCCCCCACCCCAACCAGGTCTTCATGCCATCATTCAACCCCAGCACAGTCGGCCAGCATCATTGGCACATGCAGACATGCTTGGAACACACAAGGAGACCTCAGGATGTGAACCTGGAACCTTCCCATATGGCTTCAACATCTGAGTGTTGCATTACCACTGTACCACTGTGGCTGGTCTAATTTCTGTTCTTTATAAATTATTCAGTTTCAGGCATTCTGTTACAACAACATTAGTGGAGTAAGACAGCAGTTAGATAGACATAAAATTACTCTGTCAGGGCCAGCAGGCGGTGTAATAGTTAAGGCGCTGGACTCCCACATGGCCCACAGCAGTTCTAGTCCTGAACCCACTGGCCTGAGATTCACACCAGGTACGTATGCATGTGTGTCCAAAATCTCAAGAGGAGAATGGAGAAGAAGGGACTGTAGTGTGGCCATCTCCCCGCCCCCCAGCGTGATTTCTCACTTTCCCTCTGATTGTTTCTCTGTCTCTCCAGTGAATGCACAAGACCTATGGCAAAAAACCAAAACAAACAAAAAACCTTAGGGAAAAAAAAAAGTCAACTTTTTGTAGAAGTTTATAAATTCTTCCTCTTGATATTTATACGTCTCATAAACTAGTGACATACAGTCTTCATAGACCAGCACCAATCCACACACCACAGTGGAGCAACAGTACCAAAAACATCATTACTTATTCATAATTAGAATTCTCATTTTATAGACACTGAATTTGAGATGAAACAAGATTCACCCAGACTTATGCCCATAGCCCTGAAAAGTAAACAGAAAGCTAATATCATAAAGAAAAACCTTCCACAAATTGCTATTTTGGGGGAAGAGTATTGTTGTTGTCCCACTTCTTTTCTTAAACAAATTGCAGGGGCCATTAATTCCAAAAGTATTGTATAAGCAATGATCATCAGTTCGTGACTATAGTGATAAAAATGCAGGCTGAAGTATCTTACTGTTCCTGTTTAACACAGACTAGGAATACGGGCTTTCAGTGAGAAAAAATTCGATGGACTCTCCCCTCTGTCACTTCTCGACTGCATGGCTTTGGGTCAGTAACTTAACTTCAGGACTCCTTTTCCTTTATCCATAAAACAGGAGAAACATCTACCTCTTGGAGTTGCTCTGAGGATGCAGATTTTGCATACAACTGCTTAGTTAGCAGTGAATGATGCATACTGAGTGCTCAGAAACTGTCAGCACATTAGTCACAAATTCAGCAACTAGTGTGGCCCCTCTAGGAAATGAAATGACCCTCAGCATTGCTTCCTGAGAACAGCAGGAGAGTTCCTGCACCCTGCAGACTCAGAGAGCTGACTCCCTCGCACAGTCAAACAGGAAGAGTTAAAGGTGATGAGTTTGAGGTATAGAAGCTGATCCTATCCCAAATCCCTATGAGGACAAAGATGCCTATTCTCCCATACAGAAGTCACCACTGCTAAAGTGTTTCCAGTTTTGGCACTAGCCATATATCAAGATTTCACCCCTATCCAAAGATACTTGGACCATCACCTTACACAGCTTTCCTTTAGCTGAAACCAAATGTTCTTTGACACTGAACCTAGTTTACTGTCTGAAGTATACGCTGGGCTGGTTTGACTTATCATGTGGATATCCAGGGATCCAAAGAGGCAAGTTACAGCCCTCGTTCTGTCTCTTAGCATTGTGGACTTTCAACAAGTCAACAAGTCTGCTTTAGACCTGTTGGTGGCAGAGATCTTGTTACATACTGCCTCTTTTTATCAGGAGGTGGGAATGCCCAACTATTACTGATGAGAACAGCAGGGCAAATCAAGGTCATGGTAAGAGGTAGGTGAACACACACACAAACACACAGGAGACTCAGAAAGTTCATTTTAAAAAAAATAGAATTAAAGTACAAATTTACTTTGACACAAAAATACTGAAGCCTATGCATAATTTTTCCAGCCATATTTTCCATAAACCTTTTGAAGACCTCGCAGATATATTTTTATTCTTTTTTGCATGGTACATTCTTTTCCCCACTGTATATTGTAAACTCTTTGACACAACCCATATACTTTCCATGCTTAACTCCAAGTGCCAGCATTCACCACTAAGAAAGTAATAAGGACCTAGGCAGCCCCCTGGGTCCTTTCCAGCACTTCGAAAGCTCATACTACAAGCCTTCCCAACTCTGAAGTCCTAAGTTTCAGTCTTTGTTTATTGCTAGTGACACCTGCAGCCAATATCACTGGCCCATCCAATCTGGGTTTGCTTCAGTGTTTCTATTCCACTCCTTGGCCATATAACCAAGAGTCTCAGAGAATTGTCTTTGCTAGTGATTAGCTATTCTTTTTCCTGATGTTTATTTGTCTGATTGTAAATCCTCTTCTGATTAACATAAAATCTGGCCTCAGATACACCATTTGCCGAGCACTGAGGCATTCCCAGGCCAACCTCATTTCAACATCTCTTCCCCAGCTCAAAAGATGCTGCTGGCTTCCTTCCTTGCACCAACCTGTTCTCCCTAAACACTGACCATCAGCACCCCTAACCTCTTATTTCCTCTTATTTTAAACCCTTATTCTGGTTTATTTACCTTTTTTATTTTTATAAGTTAATTGATCTGTGAAATTCTCTGGAAGGACTCTGAAGACTTTATAAAAGAATCACAGGACAGAAAGGCATAAGAGAGATCAATTCCCATTTGAACACAGTGTTTATTTCCTGTTATTTCCCACACAATCAAATGGACCCCAGTATCAATTCCCATTTGAACACAGTGTTTATTTCCCACACAATCAAATGGACCCCAGTGTTCAGAGGACAATAAATGTGGCACCACAGTACAATGAGATCCTTGAAGCCAATCTTCCAACCAGTCCATGTGCTGCCTTCAAGGTGTTTTAAGCCCTTTGTTCCTCCTCGGATTTGCTTGTTACCTAATCAGAGCCCTTTCCTTCTCATATTGTGTTCTGGATGTTGTCATTTATCCAGATAACAAGAAACACCACACAATATTCCTTCTTGCTAACATACTAGCTAAGTCCATATTGAATTAATATTTGTATACAACTTTATAATTTGCAATCTTTTTTTTTTTTTTAATTTACTAGAGGGCACATGCACTCACCAGAGAGAGGGAAAGTGAGTGAGCACACCCCCGCCAACTCCATGGGGACACGATCACACAGAAATCTTTTCTCCATTTTTCCCTCCCTTCAGGATTTTGGAAGACACACACACATGCCTGGCATGTTTCTCAGGCCGTTGGTTCTGGAACTCGAACCACTTGGTTGGGATCCAGCTACCTTAAACACCAGGCCATGGGCTATCTCCAGTCATCTTATTTTTACTCCTCAGAAAAACCCCACAGAGTAGGCGTTCTCCTCATTGTACAGATGAAGAAACTGAGCCAGAGCTGGAACTTGAACTCAAGGGGTCTTCTGACTTCATACCTAGTGCTCTTCATTTTATTTCTTACTTATTCAGGAGTCTGTGAACCTGAAGTGGAGTAAGTTTTCTAAGGCTAAATTCTAAGTATCAAATAAAGAATGAGTCATAGAGAAAAAAGTAGAGGAATCTGGTTTCTATTTCTGGTTTTGCTATAAACTATCTCATAGCTGAACTTTCCTGGTCCTCAGTTTCCTCATTCCTAAAATCAGGAGATCGAATTAGACAACCCCTGAGGTGCCTTCCTGCTCAGCTGTCCTTTGTCTCCCATACTGTCTCTACCATGTAGCTAAAATTAGGCAGAAAACATTGTTGAAATACCTTTCCTTTTTTCCTTGTGTGTTCAAAGTTGCCAAGATTAGTTGGTTAGTATTTGATAACTATTCAGTAAGTCTACCAAGGAAAAAAAAGAAAAACCTGCCATCTCTTTAATGGTCAAATTTTATAAGCAGTTCATTTTCAATAATGAGAAGATAAATCTAGAAACACCAGTCAGAAGGCTGCACCTACCAAAGTCTGTACCCTTGACGACGGCCATTTTTAGAGGCATGTATTCTTAAAGCAGTGATTCTTAACTTCATGGGACATTTCACAATGTCTAGAGACATTTTGGTCAACACAACAGCAGAGGGATACTACCGGCATCCACCAAGTAGAGACCAAGAATGCTGCGAGACAGCCTACAATGCACGAGACGACCCCACAACAAAGGCTTATATGGTTCGAGATATCAACTGCACTAAGGTTGAGAAACTCCGTCAAAGAATGACCCCATGTTCTTCCCAGTGATTCAGCTGGCCAGGTCCATGTGAGAGGTTAACCGGATAGGCCCATCTGCAAGAACCAAGAATCTGAACATCTCTCTTACCGTGCGAAGAAAGAAGCAGCCACCGAGGTGCCTGAGGAAGTCTCAGTGGCCACACAGGAGCCTTGAGAGGCTGGGATGCTGCAGGCTGAGGGCTTGTCTGCATTGTAGCGGGTCAGTGCAGCTTCTGTCAGTCCTTCCCGGCCACTCTCTGTCATCAGCTGGGAGATCTGACAAGAAAATAGACACTGAGCTCATTACCTGTGGCTCACTGCATTTCCTGACCACTGACAGCATCTTTGTATTTGAGTGAGGAGAAGGGGAGGGAGGCAAGAAGGAACAGATCTACAAGCCACCTGCATCCAGTTACATGTGGGCACCTAGGGCTTCTATAAGGCTATTTTCCAGCATTCTAGCTGGGATACCTTCTCGTTTTCATTAAAAATAATGGAATAAAATTACCCCCTGACATTGTAAGTTTTGATTATGTCTGTGTCTCCCCTCCATTTGGAGAGGAAAGCCTGAACCATTATCCACACACTCGTCACAGCCCAAGAGGACAGCAGCTAATGCTAGTTTCTCACCAGGAATGGCCCCAAACACTCTTCAGTGGACTAATGGGGCAGAGATATTGTTTTATTAAGGGAGAAGTAAGCCCACTAATGAAGAACATTCAGAATTAAAATCCTATTTGGTGGCGGTGGTAGTAGTTTGCTATGGGAAGTTGGTAAAACAGAATTAGAAAAGCAAATAAAAATGGATACAGTCACCACAAATTTTTGGAGGATTTAAATAATTTCCATAGACTTCATTTTCTCACTGTTACATTGAGAGAAATGACTTCCGTTTTATTTGAAATGATTGCCTTCATACTGAAAGTTCTAGTGGATGGGGCTGAATCCATTTTGCCTAAATTCTCTTAAGTGTCCACATACGAAGAACCATACTTCTGCACAAAATGAGAATCGTATGTAGAAATATAATTTTGGAAAGTGCTAATCCCATGGCAAATGTAATAATTATGTAGGCAAAGTCTAACAGTGCTATTTGGAAAATCTGTTACTTTAAAATTTCCGTCTACTTGCAGAAGGGGAAAATGTTAGTTAAAAAGAAACTAGAAAAAAGTTTCTGGCCGGCTCAAATCCTTGAATGCTAAGTGGAAAATGTCTCTAATTACCTAGAAAATACAAGTACAATAAATCAAAGATCAGGAACAGTTTCCACTTTGTAACTGAGCAGGCCAGTAGGCCAGTGAAAGAATCCCATTTGTTAACCTTTGGACATAAAAACATTTGTACATTTCCTTATTAGCAGAATAGCCATTACTCTGAGTCCCACTGACTCGAAACCATGCTCTACTTAAATTCATGCTCTTAACTCGGAAAGCCTTGGCATCATTTGGCTGAAATTCTGCCAGCACACACTTTTTTATTCTCATTCACTCAGTGCATTGTAAAGAAACTTGATCCAAGTAAGAGAAACCAGAGAGAAGTCAACACAGACAGCTGAAGGCCTGGAGGATATTCCCTGCACTCAGCAAGGACTGCTGACTTTGCAGAAAATCCCTGTTACCTCTCCTCTGCTGCCTTGGGGTGGGAACTCCCCTCCATCAGCTGTCACTCTCCCAGAGAAATGAAGTAGGCTGGAGGGGGGCAGCTGAAGCAACTGGGAAGCAGAGGCTATGGCGATGCATACTGTTGTACCCTCTACGCAGTATTTATGACGCCCTAGGTGGTACCTGATGTCATCCTAGACAACGTCCAAAAACAAAGCAAAACCCCCAAATCCATGGCACCATTTTTTTTTTCATCAAGAAGTGACAATCTAAGACACATATCTGATTTTAATGGACAATGACATTTGTAAAAAAAAAAAAAAAAAAAAAAAGTCAGTATGTTAATAAGTGAACATGTTGTGGCACTTCTTACACCTTACATACTTCAATAGATTCACTAGGGTGGCTCCCATCCCACTGTCTGTTCACATTATCTCCTTCTCACTACAATACTTCAAATTCTAGATTTGGAGGGAAGGAAATGGGGCCCTTCTACTTCAGTATGTGTAAACTGTCCTAGCAGGGTGGCCCTGCAACCACACCACGAGGACATGTGTTGAACAGGAATATGCCTAACACACAAGCACAGATTTCTGCTTGGGTCTAGAATCCTGAGTCTGCCCTAGAATGGAGATGAACATCTTGTGTGATCATGGCTTCTAAAAAATATCACTTAGCAAATAAATTTCCTCTCTTTTTCTTTTTATTAGTTATTGCTTTCCATGACTGAAAGACATAGACAGCACTCTTGACAAGGTCTTGATTGATGATCCACCCCCAGTCTCAGCCAGTCCCAGGTCGTGAGCATGCATGTGCCCAGTGCACTCCGAGAGGTCTCTGGCTGTGAACCTGGAACCTTCCTGTGTGAGTCAGCCTCGCAGAGTGTCACATTTTACCACTGCATCACAGTCTGGCCCTGACTTAGGCCTCGCAGAGTGTCACATTTTACCACTGCATGACAGTCTGACCCTGACTTAGCAAACAAACGTCCTTAAAAGAGAGCAATTGGATATTTTATGCCAAGCAACTTTGGGTCTCTTACTTCTGAAGAACTAGGGATTCAATGGGCATGGGACACTGAATTCCAAAGTCTATGAGTAGAATTATTCAATAACCAATTGTTTCTAGGAGACAGAATCATGAAATATTTTAGAACTAGAGGGAATCTAGATACCTGAAGAAGACAAGAGAAGTGACTGTTTTAGCCAGTCTGCAGCTGGGATCAGCACCCTGACTCTTAGGCCAGTATTAGCTCCTATTCCCTTCCTTTAACTGCCCTCACCCTTTCTAATTAAAAAAAAATTTTTTTAATGTTTTTCTCTTTGTAATTAAAAATAAATTTAGCATATAGAAAAAAATCAAATAATAAAACACATACAGCTATATCCACTATCATCATTATTAAACGTTTAAGCTTTTATTATCTTAGAAGATAGTTTCTAAATGAAACCAAATATAATATAAAACTGTAATTGCCCATGTCCCTAGCCATGTTGCCCTCTCTGCCCCTCTCCTTGCTCAGCTAGTGCCACAATTGACAGGGGTACTGGGAGGTAGGGAGCAGGCCACGTTTTGCTCTTCACAGTGTATTTCCCGCACACTCCTACCTCGTAAGGATCTGACTTAGCAACCTGTTGGCTTCTTAAAGCATTCTCCAGACTTTGTTCTCTTTATTCTTCAATGGGAAGAGGGCCCACCTGAATTGCCTACTCCTGTAGACTCTTACCACCTAAAATTTCATTTTCTCATTTGTAGTTATAGCCAGTATCCTTTTCAGAGATTATAAGCTTTCAGAAATAATATACAATGGTTTGGTCACAACAACTGCTTATTTACCTTTCCCTCACCCTGCAATCAAGGGCTCTCGCCTCCTTCACAGACCTCAAACACACCTGTGCTGCCCCTGCCGTGGGGTCTTAGCACCTGCCTTTGCCCTCTGTCTGGAATGTGTCTATTCCTTCAGATCCAAGATCAGATCAAGAGTCCTTTCTCAGAGAAGCCTTTTTTCTCACCTAGGCCTTTCTGTTGGAAAGAGCTTTCTTTTACAGAATGGTATTTTCTTTAGTATCTTTGCTTTGGTTGATTTTATACATTTAATAGAAGGTCATTTCCCTTTTCTTTTTAAAATTTTTGCCATGGGTGCCACGTGCTCATAGGAGAAAAAATAGATGGAAAATGTAAAAGCACCCCTGAAGGTGGGGAGCATGCCACAACTCCCTCTTCCATTATCCTCTCGGGACTCTGGACACACATGCACAGACCCCAACATGTTCACCAAGCCACCTGGTCCAGGACTTGAACTACCTAGTTGTTCATGTGGGGTCCAGACACTCCAACCACCATGCCACGGGCTGGCCCTATAGAAGATAGGTTTTTCCCACTACACAAAGCCCCAGGAAGATAGGTCTAGGGCTATTTGCCCACCACTGTATCCCAAGGTCAATAAATTGCCTGGTGCCCAAAGATGTTCAAAACATGTTGGTGGAATAAATCTGAGCTACTCTGTTCACATTACCTAATTAAATTTGAAGTCGTTTACATAAGAAGACATTTCTTTTTAAACTTTTGTCTTTTCTATTTTGTTTCACTATTATTAGGATGTAATAGTATCTCCCCCCCAGCCCTATCACTGCCAACCTGCAGTGTACTGGCTCCACTAAATGACAGTTCAGGGATCAAGAGCTGCCCTGTTTAGTCCACTAGCTCACTCGCTCCTTCATCCATCTGAACAGTCAAGTACTGAGTTCTCAGTACGTGCCAGGGCCTGTGGGAGACCCACATGCAAACACTTCTTAGAGTCTTCTTTCTCTTCAACATTTACTTTTTCTTGCAAGTTGTGTCCAACTCCCTAGCAGTCAGTATCTTGTACAAAGACAGATCACAAGATAGCCAGCCCAAAGCAACTTCTGTTATTATCTCTATTTAGGTACCTCTTTTTAATTCTGCAAAACAGAGGTGCTAGGCTTGCTCTCAGTAGAAACAACTAGAACTGCTTTTTAAACAAGTGAAATATCAATTCTTGACTCCAACACAGTGGCACAAGTGATAGGGCGCTGCTGTGTGAGGCTGGGGCAGCATAGGAGGTCCAAATTCGGTTCCTGGATCAACACAGACAGGCTGGGCACAGCAGCATGCTCCTGTAATCTTAGCTAGCTGGGAGGCGGGATCAGAGGGTTACAACAGCAAG